TTTTGTTCTATTGTATTTTCTGCACAGATGATCATAGATGAGACCTTGTGCAAGTTACTTAATTTCTCTGAACCATGGTTTCTTAACTTATAAAATAGGGACAATAATAATGCCTACCTTACAGGACTCTTGTGCAATTAAGAGATAATTTACCTTTCAGTGCTAGGTATTACTAGTAGGCAGAGTATGTTAATGATCATGATGATGACAATGATACTACCTAATGTTCTTTGAGTTCTTACCATGTGCTATATATACTCTCTTCTGGGTGGTCTACATATATTATGTAATTCTAATCTTCACAATATCCCTATAAGGTAGGCACAAAGAAGCTGAAGTATTGGTACTTGCCAAAGGCCACATAATTATTGTTAGAAGAGTAGAAGTAGAAAGGCTAGTTAGGAAGCTATTATAGTAGCTCAGAGAAAATAGTGACTTGGCAGTGGAGAGTAGTCAAACAGTATGGTGCATTTATGTTTTTAGTTTTGCCAGCCTATTAAAAGGCTATTGTTTATGACCAGTAGGAGAAGCCATCATCAGCAAAGATAATTTTAAAGTCCTCTAGAACTTTATGTATGTGTACTAAAAAAGTTTTAATCTAAGTAGAGGTATTAAAGTTAAGATTTTAATGAAGGTCTTTTCTGATTTATCAAATGTTAGAGTGAATTAGTTGGGATGGTTTATAGAAAACTCTGGACTCTCTACTTATAGACTTCCCTCTTTAACTGTACACTTTATATTCCTACAAGAAAACTCTTCCTAATGTGCTTCAGTTATGTTATTTCCCTACCTAGAAACTTCAAGAGGTCCACCCTTGTTTATTAAATTAAATTCAAACTTGTTCTCTAGCATTCATGGCCCTCCAAACCCGAATAAGATTCAGCCTTTACTCCGAACTATGATTACTCCTGTGTTCACACTGTGTACAACAATAAAATGGAATTACTGGGCTTGAAAAAAAATAAAATGAAGATTTCATTAAGGAATGTTTAAGATATACAAAATAGAAGTGACGAAGTCACCAAGGATAACCTAGTTATCCTTGACTTACTGATTAGTACCTTGGAATTATCTACTCCATTATTCAATGACTATAGTTAGCTGTTTTAATAAACAGACTTTTAAAACTACAAAAGAGCGGGAAAGTATGTTATTTTATTACACTAGCTATACCTGTTGGAGCCTGAAAGTGTGAAACATGAGGTTATCACCACCCACATATTTTCTCTGGCTTCATAGTCTGTCCCAATAATCTTGATCTCTAATAAAAGAAATTGAAACTTTGAACTGTTCCCTTCTTCCTCTATATTATTTATAAATATTGGGTAACTACTTAGTTGATTGAAATCACGGTGAATATAAATTGGCCTGGAATTTCAGAAGTCCCCTTTATAGTTCTTTGGAATACAAATCACATTTGTAGCCTTTCAGTGCTTTATTTAATAGGGGCCGCATGTTTTGTTTAAAACCCCTTACTTTTCTTCTTTAATCTTTAATATATGTCATCTAGTCCTGGTGATTTATCAACATTCATTTTGTAAGTTTGGCTTGTAATTCTGAGTATTGACTGTAATTTAACAAATTACCAATGTGTCCACATCAAGAACACACTGAAGTGGTAATCATTGTAAAATATCTCCTAGTATAATTTAAAACAAAAATTGCATGCAATATGGGAGATGTCTCTTTGCCTGCAATTATTGAGGAATTAACTGATTTCTCCCTTGGCTTTCTCCACTTTTTATATTATTTATTTTTATTTTCTCATAATTTTATTTTATTTTATTTTTACTTAATCTTTATTGTATTATTTTCCATTACCACTTAGTCCCCTTATATCCCCTTCCCCAGCAATCACCACACTGTTGTCCATGTCCATGAGTTCTTTATCTTTTTTGCTCAATCCCTCCATCCCCTCACCCCCCACCCCACTAGTTGCCACCCTGCTCTTCATCTATGTATGTTCTTTATTACATTATTTTCTTCCTTGAGGGAGACAGAAATGTAGTAAAGAGATGAACAGGTATTGAGCATCTAATGCGATACTATTACTTGCACAGAAAATAATTCCTAGTACAGCATAATCACTCAATAAATATTTATTAAAGGAATAAATGAATGCCAAGTATTGTGGTGGCACTTTACATTTGCAATCTTATTTATTCTTATAATAATCATATGTGAGCTAATTACTACTTTTCCTCAACCATAAAATGGAAGAATAATAGTACTTATTTTACAGGATTTTTATAAAAATTGAATGACTTAATATACAGGAGCAGGCAAAAGTAGGCAAGAACTCTGTGCCAAAGTGTGCTTGAGTATAGCAAATAGACTACAAAAATGAGCAAATAATGAAGGCCGGCAATCTGAGCACTTATGAGATTGTACCTAAGTATATTGTGTTATTATGACATTCTTTTGAGTTAATAAATCTATTGTAGTAATCATAACTTGCATGTATTTTTCCATATGAACAACTATAAACCTAACTTTTGATCACACTGTATGTAAAACAATTAGAATAGTTCCTGGTGAACAGTGAATACAATTTACATATTGTTGTTGTTGTTGTTGTTAATTATCTTTGTTACTTTCCAGTGTTACCTATGAAGAAACTGAGAGTTAAAGTCATTTTTCTGAGTATTACAAAGCCAATTAAAAGGTTGGAACAAATTACTAAATTTCAGGCTCTTTCTTCTAAATCTTTTATCTCCTGTTATATTGATTAAACAAGGAGACCATCAGACTGAAGTAGCTCTAATGCCATGATGGCCTACATAAGCAAACCACAATCTAAGCCCATTTTAAAGTCCTCAAGGCTATGAAATCAAAATGCTAAGGTCAACCAATCATCAATGGCCAACTAGGCTGTAAACTATATCCAATCCAATAAGTTCCTTTCTTTGCTTTCTTACTTTCTCTTTGAGTCTTTCCTCTTGTTCCTGTCATCAGAATGCTTATAACCACTCCTGGTTTAGCAGTGCCCAATTCCAATAAATAAATGCTCAACAAACTCTAAAAAAATTGTAATATTTCCCAGATTATCTTTTAAAAATATGTTTATTGAATTTACAGAGAGAGGAAAGGAGAGAGAAACGTTGATATGTGAGAGAAACATCATTGGTTGCCTCCCATACACACCCTAGCATGGGGGAGGGGTGGGGAATGGAACACACAAGGTAGGTATGGGCCCTGATAGCCTATGGAACCCCCAACCTTTAGGTGTGCAGGGTAATGCTCCAACCAACTGAGCCACACTGTCCAAGGAAACCTCTATTTATCTTTTAACACTCCTTATGGCCTTGGGGTTCTTATGAAATGTATTATTTTGCCTGATTTTCATGTGTACCTAGTATATTTTGTAGGTTTCTTGTTTTTCTTAGATTATCTTTTAATTCTTTCAAAGGTTATTTTCCTTTTTAAATTTGGTTGTATATGACCTTTTTCACTTGTCAGGCATCCTGATTCCAAGAGCATATTTTTTTCTTGAGTCTAATATATTGTTTTACCTAATTGCAAACATTCTTATTTGCTAATTATTGAAATAGGTTCTTTCTTACTATTTCATCTAATGAATTAAGTTTCTCTTTTCATCCCTCTTGATTCTGGAAGTTCTGAATTGATACTTGATTTGATTTTTTATATAAGAAAGATGAAGTATAAGTTATAACATTTCTTTCTGACACCAGTGGGTTTAAATAATTTGATTTTACTTGCTAATTCTTTTTAGAATCTGATTCTCAGGGTTTTGTTCCTTCTGTGGACCATGTATATGGCAAATGTAATTTCTTGCAACATAATCATTTTAATTAAACTGTATGGCCATGAAACAATTTAGACAAGTTGTAATTTTTTCCTGTCCTTTTTTTCTGATGTAGAATCTATGGCAGATAAACTTTTGTGGATATTTCGCTACGAAAATTAGATTTTTGATAGATTGTTCAAATTGAAATGAGTGTAAAATAGATGCATGGGGTATTCAAATTAATGATAACTGAATATGCCCAAGCATTCTGATAGTTTTTTGGGAAATTTTACTGGCTATTAGTGAAAAAGATTTCAATAACTGTGATTACGGATGGTGGGGTGGCAGTGGCCTGAATAATTGCATTCAGTTTCTAAGAATGAACTGCTAAAATCCAAGATTCTTTAGCTTCATATGCTTAGTGTTAAACCTTCAGAATTCCACCTAAAACCAAAACCTGTATTTCAAAAATAAACTTTCAGTTTGTTTCATGATCAAAGAGTTTTTCATCAGTTATACTGACATGATGAGAAGAAACTCAAGATATTTTGGAGATCTTGGCACAACTTCAAAGAATGATAGAACAGAATGCATACAATTTTTCCAAGGTTTGGAGGGCGGCAGTTTGGCTGAGATCCACACACACTGAAAACGAGATGCTTCCTTGAAAACATTTGAAAAGTTTTTTTTTTTCGTATTTTGGAACTGTAAATTATGGCAAAATTCTTATGTGCTTAAAACTCAAAGCACTTCTGCACCAGTATTCCTCCGGAAATGGTCCCTAATGTTTCTCTCCCTATTAACATTGGTAAACGATTCCTGAAGCATTTGTAGTGTTTCAATAAGGTGACTGATAGGTCTAAATGCTGTTTCAATATATTCTGAAACGAATCTCTTTCATCCCACCTAATATGTTTGCCTTTGTCTAGCAGAACGAAAAAGGTGAAGCCATTTACATATTTGGGTACATATCGCCAAATGACCAATCTGCTGACACTTCGTAAGATTTTGGTACCCAAAGCAACGGAATCCGGATTTAGCATCCTTTCTCTGATCACACATTTCTTAAAGCAAACGTTCTGCAAGTTTTAAAACCGTCTGTTCTCCATCCAACACCTCCTCCAAGCCCGCCGCCTAGTTCCTTCCCACTCTACCTCGCCCCCCTACTCCGCCCCCAGGCTGCGCATGCGTTCTAAGAATCTCTACACTCAAGGCAGAAGCTGGGAGTGTAGTCGGGGGCTATTCTCTCGCCCAGGAATATGGCGGCGAGTCAGGGAGTTGGTGGTAACAGTGCGGGCGGCGGTTGTAGTGGAGGTGGAAATAGTGGTAGCGGTGGCGGTGGCACGGCAGGAGGAGGTAGTGGAGCGGGAGCAGGAGGTGGCGGCGGCGGGACCCTAGTGCTGCCCATCCCGGTACCGACTCTTTTCGGTCAGCCTTTCCCCAACGGGCCGCAGTGGAACCCCGGGAGCTTGCAGCCTCAACACACCGCGAGGAGCCTGGACCGGGCCCTCGAGGAGGCAGGCAACTCCGGCATCCTTAGCCTCAGTGGTAGGAAACTTCGAGAGTTCCCTGGCAGTGGCTACGACCTGACGGACACCACCCAAGCAGGTGACAGGACTCGGTTACGGGGTGGTGAAGGAAAGCTAAGAACGAGGAGGTGGGGAGAGTGGGTGGCTGCATGGCTGCGTTGTTGGACTGCTGGTCTGGGCGGGTGCAACAGGGCGGTGAACTGACAAAGTCGGAGCCCCTTGTTGTGAATGTGGGGGGCAGAGAAGGGAATAGGGGAGGGGGTAAAGGAATGCTGATTGGAAGATGTATGGAAATCGGGTGGGATGTGAGAGCTGAAAGAACATTATTGTTAAATCGAGTTTCCCCTGTAAGGGGTGGGAAGGGAGGTATTGACACCTTCCTTAATGCACTTCTTCCAACTATCTTGGATGTTCTCATCTTTTCCAGAGGCAGGGGTTGGGGGTGGAAACAATACATATAATCGTAATCTATACGTATTCCTTAAAAGCATACGTGCTTGCAAGAATGCTATATCCCCTTTCATAGTACAGCAGCAGTATTGCCACGGTATTTGTGTTCTTATTTTCTGTTTCAGTCATCTTAGAATATTCTTGCCTTCTTATCCTGTATGTCTTAAAGACCGAGATTTTTCATTTTCCTGGTGTTGAGAAGATAGTGGTGCTTAAATTAGTATTTGCTGCAAATTAAATCATCAATCACTTAAATGTCTGGTTGCCAGGGTCAAGAATCCTTGTTTTGAGTTATGTAAGTCTTAATGTTCATAGAAGAAATTGCCAACAAATTTTAAAGGTATTTTTGAGAAACATAATTAACTCCTTTATGGAGTTGTGGGTTAATGAGTTATCATTTTGGATGAGAAATGGGCTATTGTAATGTTCTTCATATACTCTCTGGTATTCTTTGTTGTGGGTGGTATTTTTTATTATGAACACATTCTCTTTCCTCTCTTATATACCAATGTTGAATATTTTAGGTGTGTTTTGGTGTAATAAAAGGGATGTTTTGCTTTTCATAATCTTTATATTTGTTATTTATATTTGTTTTTTCATTTGCTTTGCTGAAAGAAATCATGGACAATATTATTTTAATAGATGCACTAATTTTGAAACAATATAGTAAGTACATTCACCCATAATGAGAAGTAATTAAATGGCTTCTTATTTTCATAATAACATGATTTAAGTGTACTCAGATTCTAGCTGTTGAATCAAGATATGTGTTTGGAAAGGGTGGGGAGAGGAAGACAGCCTAAAATTGAAGCCTTCCACCCAATTATTCTTTTAGGAATTATCCTAAGAACCATGAATGTGTAATTTATCACTGATTTTTGTGTTTTGGAAAGCATGTTTTGAGTATTTACTGCTTCACTCTGAGCATATTTTCTAATGTTCACATATTCCTGAATATATTGGCAAAATATTATACTACTTGGTATGTTCTTCAAAGGCTTCAATAGAAATGGTTTGAGACTGTGTCATTATAGGGATATATTGATTTGTTTATTGTTCTTTATAACCTATAAAGGATCTATCTATCTGTAGGACAGAGTTTAAGCATCTTAGCCTGGCATTCAGGGCTTTTACTGTCTGGCTCCAATTTACCATTAACTTTACCTCTTCCAAAGCTCCTATACAGAACCCTCTGTTCCAACTAGGTTAACTCCCTGTCCCTCAAATAATTTTATGAATTTCTGCCTCATCCTTGTAGAAGGTCATCCACATGCTTGGGATTTACTTATTTTCCCTACATCTTTAATTTTGTTCAAAACCCAGCTTTTCCAAGAAACTGTCTCCAACTACCTTAGTCCATAGCAGTTTCCCATTTCTTTGAACTCCCATGGTACTGCTTGTCTTTACCATTTACATGCTAGTGCTGGCTTTATTTTCTTTTTATGTTTGTGTCTTGCTGTCTCTGAGGAGATAGATGGAGAGCTCCTAAAAGGCAGGGAATAAGTTACATATTTGGTTAGTCTTATTATATATAGTTTATGTTGTACTTGATGATACTTTTCATAAATATAAATATCATGTGGTTATAGTTGTTGGCTTTAAAGTCTTCACTTGGTTTTCTGGAGCAGGCATTAATAGAAACCAGAATCATATTTGTTCTTGGTAAAACATTCTTTCATCATAAACTTGATCAGGGTCTGCAGTAACACAGGAATTTTTGAGATAATTCCACTTCATTTTACTTTTACTTTTTCACTTAAATGTATGTTCTTTGTGGGAACACTTCAGAATTTAGATGAGAAATCTGTGAGTAACTCATTTGCCATTTTTTAAACAAAATTCAGCCATGAATATTTAGGGGTAGTATTATTGTGTGTAAGGAGATTGACATTATGTATAAATGAATCTAGGTACACTGGAACTGAAGAAAAATAGAGCATGTTTGAGATTTTTTAAAAAAGATTTTATTTGTTTATTTTTAGAGAGGGGGTAGGGAGGGAGAAAGAAAAGGAGAGAAACATTGACTGGTTGCCTCTCCTGTGCTTCCTGACTGGGGACCAACTGGGCACCGAACTCACAACCCACGCTTGTGCCTTGATGGGGAGTCAAACCGGCTACCTTTCGCTCCTCAAGACTGAGCCACACACAGGTCAGGGCCGCATGTTTGAAATTGTATATACATACATGGTATATACACATATACACACAAACATACACATACAGATATACATTGTATATCCTTTGTTTGATGAGCACAGTTTGTTGATATTGCTATATTTAAAGTGACCTTCAGTGGGATGATGTTTCAGATCCAAACTGATCAGACCAGCATGTAATGGTTTATTGGATTGAGAAGAGACTGGAGGAACAAAAAATAGGTAAGAAGTTACTATGTTAATCTAGGTGTGAGGTGGTGAGAATCTTGGTTAAAACAGAATTTGATGAGAAGGGGAAATGGATAGATTTCAAAGGAAGTAGGGAGGGCTTTATACATTATTTTTCTGTTCCTTACATACATGCAAGATGAAATAGGCCAGCGGTTCTCCACTTTGGCTGCATATTAAAATCACACAGGGGATTTTTTTTAAAACTGTTCCTGGGCCCCACCCTAGACCAATTAAATCAGATTCTTAGGGGCCTAGAGACTTCTTAAAAAAGTCTTCCCAAGTGCTTCTAATATGCAGCTAGGTTTGTGAAACTCTAAATAGCTAATCTTTTAAAGGTACTCAAGAAATATTTATTGGTTGAGAACCTATGCACCCCAGTGTTCATAGCAGAACAATTTACAATAGCTAAGTACTGGAAGAAACCTAAGTGCCCATCAGTAAATGCATGGATTAAAAAACTATGGTACATTTACACAATGGAACACTATACAGCAGAGAGAAAGAAGAAGCTCCTACCCTTCCTGACAGTGTGGATGGACCTGGAGAGCATTATGCTAAGTGAAATAAGCCAGGTGGTGAAAGACAGACACCATATGATCTCAACTTTAACAGGAATCTAATCAACAAAACAAACAAGCAAGCAAAATAGAACCAGAGACATTGAAATTAAGAACAAACTCAAAGTAACCAGGGGGGAGGTGGGAGGGTATGAGGGGAAAGGGGGGAAGGGTTTTCAACAACTATAAAGGACATATGGATAAAACCAAGGGGGGTATAATCAGGGGAGGGAGGTGGGGATGGCTAGGGTGGGGGGAGAGAAGGGGGAAAATGCAGACAACTATACTTGAATAACAATACAAAGTTTAAAATTTTTAAAAAATGTTTATTGTTTGAGTGAATAAAAACTGATAAAAGTTTACTGACAATCCTAAAGTGACTTGTTAAGAGGGTCAAAGCCCAAACTAGAAACTAAGCATTTAAGTTTTAGTTGAATATTCTTTTTAATAGCCTTGTGTCAGGTAGAGACTCATATTTTCTCATCATATTATGTCTACAGTGAATAGAAACATAACAGGAAGTAATAGTTTCTTCAGTTCCCATGCATTACTCTGGTTTGCATTTAATACTGTTTTTTAATGTATTTTATTGATTATGCTATTACAGTTGTCCCATTCCTCCCCCTCACCTCCATCCTGCACACCCACTCCCATCCACATTCCCCCCCATTTGGTTCATGTCCATGTGTCATACTTATAAGTTCTTTAGCTTCTACATTTCCCATGCTATTATTACCCTCCCCCTGTCTATTTTCTACCTACCATCTATGCTACTTATTCTCTGTACCTTTTCCCCCTCACTCCCCCTCCCACTCCCCTCTTGATAACCCTGCATGTGATCTCCATTTCTGTGATTCTGTCCCTGTTCTAGTTGTTTGCTTAGTTTGCTTTTGTTTTTGTTTTAGGTGTGGTTAATAATTATGAGTTTTCTGACATTTTACTGTACATGTCTTTTACCTTCTTTTTCTTAGATAAGTCCCTTTAACATTTCATATAATAGGGGCTTGGTGATGATGAACTCCTTTAACTTGACCTTATCTGAGAAGCACTTTATCTGCCCTTCCATTCTAGTAAAAGGCGAAAGATTTATACGATCTGAAGAGAAACCAGAGTATTGCCCTTCCATTCTAAATGAAAGCTTTGCTGGATAGAGCAATCTTGGATATAGGTCCTTGCCTTTCATGACTTGGAATACTTCTTTCCAGCCCCTTCTTGCCTCTAAGGTCTCTTTTGAGAAATCAGCTGACAGTCTGATGAGAACTCCTTTGTAGGTAACTCTCTCCTTTTGTCTCGCTGCTGTTAAGATTCTCTCCTTATCTTTAATCTTGGCTAAGGTAATTATGATGTGGCTTGGTGTGTCCCTCCTTGAATCCAACTTCTTTGGGACTCTCTAAGCTTCGTAGACTTCCTGGAAATCTATTTCCTTTGCTAGAATGGGGAAGTTCTCCTTTATTATTTGTCCAAATAAGTTTTCCACATGTTGCTCTTCCTCTTCTCCTTTTGGTACCCCTATAATTCAGACGTTGGAACATTTAAAGATGTCCTGGAGGTTCCTAAGCCTCTCCTCATTTTTTTGAACTCTTGTTTCTTCATTCTTTTCTGACTGGATGTTTCTTTCTTCCTTCTGGTCCACTCTATTGATTTGAGTCCCAGTGTGCTTCCCATCACTATTGGTTCCCTGTACA